TTCTCTTTCTCTCTCATTCTCACTCACTCGCTCACTCTCGCACTCTTTTTCTTTCTCCATTGAGCTTTGCTTTATCGACTATACATACACGAATCCCGTGAGACTTTTCTCTCCCTCTGTCGTCATTCCTTGCCCATGCCCCTCTGGCGAATAAGAAGAAAGAAAAATCGGAAAAAGTCTCCGTTTCTGATTTCCGTGGTTTCCTCATCAGGTTCATCATCATCCGTGCTGGATGAAACGGGATAGGGAAAAAAAACCCTGAGAGGATAATGACCATCCATGCAGGGCTGTAGTAACGCGGAATCACGCTTGGTCCAAACACATAATGAGGGAGAGATTCCATCTGTAATAGATGTTATAATAACAGGCATGCGTCTCATGCAAGGTCCCCGATAGACAGCATCAACTTTGCATGAGAGGGAAAGAGGACAAAAAAAACTGCTATCTGGGGAAGCAATCTGGGACAGGGGGGAAAGGACTGCATTTTCATCTCATCACACCAAAGTGACAGAGATGAATAATTGAAGGCCGGGAATCAATCTAATCTCAGGATTGTAGTGCGGACGTGTCAAAATCCCAGCCGTACGTACAATACCGGCCTTTTATTTTCTCTTCTACCTCATCCTTCATCATTATTCCTTGTTCCGCCTTCGAACGCCTCAGTCGTCTTTCATGGCCCGCTTCCAATGTCTTGCTGCCTTTGCTCGATCAGATACCTCAGAAGTTTCTTCTCTACACAAGGGCATTTTGTCGTGCACAGAAAGAGTTTCGGCATGAGATGGGTCTAAAGATGAAAGAATGCAGGGATTACATCCCCGTGAATCTGGAGTCTGGGCGAGGAAATGACATTAGCCTGACACGTCATATCCCAAGAACAAAGAATGTCGATGTATGCAGAGCAAACCCGTTCCTCTTTCGGGCTCTCGATATTGAGCTCAGCCAAGATGACGTACGTTTCTCGATACCATCATGAACCCTAGACGCACTTCCCTCATATTATACAATATTACGCCCTGGCAATCTCGTCTAACAGGATGAGGGTGAGATATGGATAGAGGGAGAGAGAGAGAGACAGAAAGAGCGAGCGATGAAAGCCTCCCATATATCGACGAGTCTCGGTCGGCTGATGAGAAGATCGAAAGGACCTTATGAATATTATAGAGGACAAGTTGGGAGGAGGGAGCGGTGTTAATAGAATTCATGAAAATTTAACAAGACTCTGTGTCCATTGTCGTCCTTCGGGGTTGGGGCACTATCAACATAATGAGACGGAATTTACGGTCTCCATCCCGCACGCATGGGGACGTCTCCCCGCGATCGCCAAGATACAGTATGACGCAAATCATTATGCAGCACGTTAACTGTTGCCCAGTGGAAGACGAGAGAGAAATTTTGACTGACCTTGATCCAAGATCCGCCGACCAAATCGTCCGGTCCCCTCTGATTCTGGGTAATAAGTGGTATCAGAGTGGCCGGAAGAGGACCCAGAAGGACTGCCTTGGTTCACGTTGTATCGATTCATGTTGTATCGTTTCCCCATGGACATTTTCTCGTGAGGGAATGGGGAACATTGCCTTCCGGAACCAGTCATACGAAATCGGTGATGCAGGGCCATGGCCGTCTCATTTGAAGGCATCTCAGTCCCAGCTTTTGAATCTCCTTCCATGTTTGATTTCACCACATCCGGACTTGTGTATCTTTCAAGACCTGAGAGAAGAGAAGGGGGAAAAAATCAATATATAGGCCATCGATGATGATTTCGTCTCGGGATACCTATTGCGTAGGATAATGGGCCCATTCCATGAAGGAAGACCGTTAGAACCGCAAAACCGAGCATGAACTGTCTCAAAGAAGCACCCGAGGGAGGAATCTCCTCCTAACGGGTCTTCAAGATTCTATTCGCGGAAAAGCTGCATAAGTCGAGGATTATGTTTCAGCTAAAGTCAGAGAGATAGGCGAGAAACGGAACGGCATAGTGATCACTGCAATTCCCTCTCCATGGCTTTTTTGCCAGTCGATCTAATCAAACGGTTACGAGCTTGCCGACTTTATTGCCTGGCAAAGCCGACTGCAACGGATGTCATAAATAACTTGGTCATTTCCTTCTTCAGCTCCGGAATCCTGGGCTCCGTAGGACATGCAACACCACACTTCTTACGAGAAGTTCTTTCCCTCTTTATTCGGACCTCGTTGATAGAGTTATATAGGAAGGCGCAAGATGTTGGGTTTCTTCTTCAGAATTTAACAAATGTGCTATTAAAGGAATAACATTAGCCCTGAAGAGCCGCTGATATTGCACGAGCGCACGGCGGACATACGAGGTTGCCGTCATCGGCTTCTCTGCTGAACCCTCCTTCTCTGGGAAATGCCCACCATGATGAGTCAACGTTGGGTGTGAATGGGAAAGCCGAGGTCAACATTGCAGTGGGTCGACGATGGACGCCCCACATAGGTGCCATTGAGGAAGCCAACATTTGTCTCAAGCACATAAATTCACCTCTTGGCCATGGATTGTGCTACAAGAAATCTCTATCTGAGATTGCATGTATTGATGACTATGGGAGTTGTTTACTGGCAGTTGCTTGTTGGCATTTGTTGGCAGTATGTCTGGTGTTGAGAGCCAACAAATTTCTGGAATTTCAGATGCGTATACTCCACGTTGTTTAGCACGAAACCGATCTACTTCCCCTTTAGTGCAGGGTGGCCAGACCTTAAAATGTTCGCTGATGCGCATAATGCACTGTGAACTTATGATTGACTTGCTTTCCAGCCACACGGTCATTCTGACGGTCAGTAGAAGATCTCGTGAATAGAACCATTACATAGAATGCTTTGGCTTCGAAAGGAATTCTCAATCATAGAGATGGAGGTCTTAGCGCGTCAAACGACAAAAGTACTTATAGTGTATGTAGTTATGGTGTATAGTCTAGTTAATCTCTTTTTCAGATAGCATTCTGCCGAGATAATTTTTTTTTTTTTTACGAATACGAGCGATTACATTTTGCGAAGCTCGGGATTCTGGGGCGAGTTTTACTTCTTGATCATGGATCGCCTAAAAAAAAATCAGAAAAAGTTTTGAGAAAGGATTGGAACAGAAATTCATTCCTGTGACTTGTTCTTTTTCCGATTCCCTTCCATAATTCTTCTAATCTTTTTAATTTTAGGTATTGGCGATCCATGTTCGAAAAATAAATCTGGCCTCGGCGTTAAATCTGCATCAGCGTTGGCAAAATGCAATAATTCGTATTTGATCAATAAAAGGAACTTCTCGCTGTCTAATGTCATTTGAAGGGAGGAAAAATTATTAAATCACACATGCTATGAACCAATAAAATCCTGAAGTTGAATGTGTCCTATGTAAATACCTTTCCTTGGAAAGAGGAGCAATTTGATTTTCGTTTCTGCTTTTCGGACAACTTTCATGCATGAAATGATTACACGGATAAAATGTGAGAACGTTTCGGTAGACAAGCTGAGCCAACGCGAGTGTTTAATGTTGGTCCATCAAATGGGGTCGAGGAAAAAGCCTGTGAGGCCCCAACGTTGGGTTCACTTTGCATCCATGCATCGCAATGTATGGACTTTGCTGGAGTGAGATTCCAACATAGTCCATGCATTACATTACCCTACTGAAATAACATATGAGGTGTAGTAAAGAAGTTCGGGAAATGGGCCCATAGTTCAGTCCTAAGTGTTATCACTATAATGATAGGTCACTTTTCAAGTGCTATGCACACTGTTAACCTGTATAACCTTGTTAATTAACGTTTCTGCAACTATCGGAAGCACATTTGGAGCTTTACAACCGTAATGGTACGATGGAAATCCTTCACCGAAGAAGGCACAAATGCAGAGGTCTCATACCAAGACGATGCTCATCACCTTCGACAGTGCTGGAATTGTGCACAAGGAATTCGTGACTCAAGATCAGGGGATCACATTGCAGAAACGTTGGCAAAGGCTTGAAGCATCCGAGAAGGGGCATACTTTGGAGACCCAGCATCACAAAGATAACACATAAAGCAACTGAACTGTGGGACCAGTCCCCGAGTTTATTGACTCTAATTTGTATTACATCGATAATGAACCTATCTCGGGTTTAGATCCTCGGCTTACTCAGTTTCTGAAGGTATCTGGAGAGAGGTTTCAAAGGGCGCATTTATTGCCATTCATTAGATAGCTAGCGCGAAGTGAATTGCGTTGCGTCGCCATGAAAACGCTTGATTCTGAATCCTAAACTCGGAAACGTATTGTTCTGAGTTTGCATAAGTTAGGTTCATTGACTTCATGATTTCAGTCAGCTTGGACTTTTCAAGAAGATCCCGGGGGGGGGGGGGGGAAGGAAAATTCCACAGAAGCAAAATGTACAATGACTGGAAAATAGGAAAAAATTATGGGTGGAGGAAATATTGGGAGGGAAAATGCAACAGGAAACAAACAATACTGGCAAAGAAAAAGTTTTTTACGATGTAATGAGAGCTGTTTCATCGATAAGGATCAACTCTCGGGTCCTCGGTTCACTGAGTTTCTAAAGGGAGCATTTCCCGGGAAGCATCTCTTCGGGCTTGATAATTAGTTCCTTTTGTGCCGAATAACATGCATCCAAGAGAGAGAGAGAGAGAATAGAGGGGGGAAAAAAGTTCCCGGGTGCACAGCTGTTGAGTTTAGCAATGAATGCCCGATGAGGGAGCTTTCAGGGACCAGGATTGAATCAATGCAATATGCCACAAGCCTTATTCTTGCATCCTGTGACGTTAATCACATACGTGATGACTGATTATGTACTTATCACGAAGGATCACGTCACTCATTTCTGTGCAGAGCCTCGGGTTCATTTAATGGTGGAGCTGTTGACGATAAAACGGGGAAGCATATCAGTTCCAGGTGGGTTGACAAAGAGCAGGTCTCATTTAATGAGGCCTCATGTCAGAGGTGGAAAAACCCAGCCCGATGGGATCTAATTACGCTCCAGGGGGAGCAGGGCAACGTAATTAACTGCTATCGATCTGGCTGATGATCATGTGATACGTCCTGGCCAAGTCTGAGTCTCCTGTCTTCCTTTTTTCCCGTCTCTCTTCCAATCCCAACTTCATCCTGGCCCGCCGGTTTGTTGTTTGTGAAGCTATGACCAACCGCCCTTTTCCTGGTCTGAATAATAGAGCATAGCACTCACGTATAAACTTCCGCATATCAAGAACATTTTCCCTGCCAGTCGTGGCGTATTATTACGTGTAAAAGGGAGAAACAACGATCGAAGTGTCGGGTGGGGTACCGCCCTACGCAAAATAGCGGCAATTTGACAACCGACAATCATGGATGACATCCCCCCGTAGCTCACGTCAACAGCCTCGCATGTTCCATGTTTCATGGCTGCATCTGTTCACGAAAACGGTCTCATGCAGATATAGACCATTACTGACCATAGTCGTACTTCTTCCGGCCCAGGGCATTGTCCAGTCCTTTCTTTTCGCTGTCCGTATCCGAGGAACTGCCCTCTCCCTCTCCGTTGACCTTTGACCTCTGACCCCTCATGCGGGTCCCACTCGTAGGCATGCGTCTCGTTGGCGAGCTCATCCCTGAAGTTTTTCAGAACCTGGAACGAACAATAAAGAGGGTTTCCGTTCTCAATCCTGGCCCCCTGGGGTCGGCCATTCATGCCGTTGCCGTATCATGGCTCCGCTATTGTTGCCTTGTCAACTTGTCAATCACGTTTACGAAGAAGAATGGCAGGCCTACAGTTTTCGGACGTTTCAGCCAGGGAAGGGACTGTCCTGCTGATCACCCGATGACCTGATATTTGTGGTCAATCATTTTTCACGCTTCTTTGAAGCAAGCACACACCCCCAATTATCAAAAAATGGACCTTTATCTCCCGAAAAAAAAATTAGATGTAAGTACAGGTGGGAAATGACTGGATGTGGCAGGGCGTAGTGGAACGTGGAGACAGAATGATTAATGACTGTCTATCGTGTTTTATAATAGGGCACCGGGTGGAAATTATTCATCGTGTTCGATGAAGACCAGAACACACGTGGACCTTTCCTTCTCTCGGAGCTCATTTACATCCCAGGAGACGTCCTGGGGCTGGCCTCATACAGCAAAGGAGGAGAACTCTGGTCTTCCTTCAAGTCGCACGCGAACCGGGAGGCCAAGAAGTGTACAGTGTAATGGTGATGTCATGTAAGTTGGTTTCTCCGGGGTCGTCACGTGAAGGAGCCATCACGCTACATGGGGTCCTTCCCTGGCCCACTCCCCCTTCCCTTATGCATTCTTAGAATCTCGTCTCTAGCAAGGCAAGCTACGAGGGTTCGTCATAATGAGACCTGGGTATGATTCTTGCATGCCTCATCAAGAAATGAGGAAGATCCCTCTCCCACAGAGCAGCGTTCAATACCCGGAAAATCCTCCTCCCAGACCCCTGATGACAAGGGGGAGGGCTTATTAACGAATAATCTTCCAAGTGTAGGCCTACATGGAGAGACCCACGATTACACCTACTCATCATCATCATCATCATTATCATGGGATAACCGTTCTTATTCTTGCTCAGAGGCAGCCGTTCTCCAGCTTATGAGCTTGTGAAGAGCCTGAAGACTATTATCTCGACTCCCTGTTCGTTCGAGTTGAACTTTTCCATTTCAGCGGAACAAGAAAAGAGAGACATGGAGGGAATGAAGTGAGCTGGTTCCATCAAGGAAGAGTTTTCCCTTTGCTCACTGGCCATGAGAAGAGAATTCGATTAGGAGGCCAAAGGGAAGGCGGCATGTGGGTCTCGTTTTTGCACCCCAAATGTCATTATGAGAAAGAGAGATTCTATTACCACACCAAGGTCTTTTCCTTGATACTCCACGCCCACCAAAACTGCAAGGCCTCGACGCCGATCCGCGTCGTAAACGCCAAGAAGGCACAATAACTGAGCAGTTCAGAGAAAGGAAGGACGGGGTTAAAGGAGAGATGACTTAATCACGTCGGAACGTGAACAACGTAGACCTTGAGCCTAACCCGATCCGTGACTGATTCGAGATTTACGATCAGAGCAGATTCTCCTTGCCCATCCTTGTGTGGGATTGACTTACACCCTCTATCTAGAATGTATGCAATTTAAAGTTTCGAGTGGTCGAAGCGGGTTTCGCCGGTGACAGGTGATCAAAACAACGTAGTTTGAGAAGACTGAGGGGCGTATATGCCTTACGCCGGGATGGAGGTGGGGCAGATGAAGACATTTTTTGCCTGCAGGAGGGCAAGTCATTATGCAGAGAAGGAATTGGGGCATTATGTATGCGTGTGTGGTCCCAACTTCCCTTAGAATTCGGAATGCTCTCCTACCCCCCGTATATTATTTCCCTAGACTTCTTTTACCCGACATTGCAAGCTCGCGTGTGCCCCTCCGGCCAGATGAAAATAGACTTTTCAGCACACGACCATCTTTCTTTCCCCGGGTGGTATTTGATCCCTAGATGGCAGGGGGGAAAGACTGAATTGGCACATGCACTCTACAGGAGGGAGAAACAGAAAGGAAAACAAAGGACAGTCCAGTCGAAACGCACTAGCGTTTGGAAGGGAGGGGGGGGGGGGAACGTGCTTCAGCTCCATGTCATCATTTATTTACCACGAGCAGCTCTGAATGTATGCCGGCAGGATGGATTATAATAATGGAAGGGGACAGGATGCAGCAAGGCAAAAGCTCCGCAAAAAGAAACGCAGTACTATGCACGAGCACTTAAGCAATTTGCAATTATCGTCATGCGTCTCATAAATAAATCTGGATAGGCACATAAGTACAACACTACATGTTGGAAGAGTAATGAATCTTGTTTCGTTCTTATTGAAGCCTTTCGACCTGCAGCACATCTATGGGTTCTGCGTGGAGGAGGGAATGAGTGAATTTATGTGCATAAGCCTCTCTTTGTGCATCTTTTTATCTATGCAGGTCTTCATTATCCTCTTGGTGTGGAGGCTCTTCCCTTCTTTCTCCCCTTTTTGCTTTTTAATTTCCACGAGCTAGTGATGGAACCGGAAGAGTCTCGACGAAAGCATACAAATGCCATCGCAATGAAGATGGAGCACCGAGGCACTTCCTGTCATTTTGACTCCTCTTATGAAAAGATGGGAAGGCATAAACCACAATCAAGTAAGGGACCAAGAAACACTTCGGTACTATACTACACATCGGCCATGGTGGAAAAGAATGAATGGGGTGGATATTGGACGTTACGTGACCGGCGGAAATGAGCCCAAGCTGCCGAGATTTTTAGGGACAAAAGAACGCCATTGTTTATGCCAGACAAAGCACAGGACAAGTCCCAATGGAAGAATCGCGTGCAGCTTCCTTCCCCTTTCCTCTCTCTTCTTTCCCATTCCCAGGACTGATAAAAAGGAAGGAAGAAAGGTGAAAAGGCTGGGCCGCGAAGATGCGAGGCCGACCAAGACAACGATCCTTCCATAATGAAGTAGAATCAATGAAAAAGAAAGAGAAGTTGGCCTGGATATGAGATGCTGGGGATTTTTCTGAGACAGGAAATCGATCCGGAATGCGGGCTTATGAAAACACCTGCATCAATCATGGGCTGGCTGGGATATTGTTGGCTCATTCCAACGAGACAACGACTCTCATCAGTCTTCGTCCTTCCGAGTCGGCAGACCTTCCTTTAGCCTTCGTCGACAGTAAGAGAGACATAAGTTTTCCTCACAGTGCACTGCATGAGGGGAGGAGGGAAGGCAAATGAAGTGGAAAAGGGGTTTCTGGCTCGGGAATGTGATGGGAGTTATGAATCAGCGCCACCCCCCTTCCCTCCATAAAATACGGGAAAGGAGATATGGAAGTCCATTAAAAACACCAACTCCATACATCCCTCAAGCCCTCAACATTCAACCTCGAAGGGAGGGGTGAAAGAAGTTTCTAATAGATCCATTAGTGGGGGGCAGGAACCCGATAGGATCAGCCGGCGGCTTTTGAACTCATTTTGATGCCGGGGCACGGGCCAAGAGGAAGAAAAGGAAAAAGGGAAAAAAAAATATGTGCGCTTTCAGCGAGACTTGTCAGCCTCAGCAGCGAGGAGATATTCCATATGACATGATTCCTCCTCCTGGCAGGCTGCTTCTGTATGTGTACTCTCAGATGGACACGGTCCGTCTTTCTCGGAATGTCTGAGGATTTATTGACCAGAGGGAGCTATATCAGATTTCTTGTTAAGCCGGAAGAGATGAACTGCTCAACGAATGATGGGAACTCCCTAAAGGTCCTTTAGCGAAGAATGATATGGCATATATCCCCTTTCTCCAAATGGGATGGAGAAGGGGGGGTGAGGGGGGAGGAACAATCTCGGTCTCATTCTCGCTCCAGACGAGGTCATCAGTCACTTGTGTCCAGAACATCTATCTCAAATCATGTCTTCTGCACCGTGACTCCGTCCTCGGCTTTGGATCAGATTCCGACTTCAGCCAAGGTAAATTCCTCACTGCTCGAGAAAACAATAATCCCCTCTTATGCAGGACAAAAGCTCGATTTTCTCTTTTTCCTTTCCCTCTGCTTCCCCCTCTCCTTGGATTCAATTCCTCTATCAGGATTTCCTCTCCCTTTTGTGTGAGGCAATGGCCTGCGATATATTGCTTCGACTCCCCCTCTTTTCGTTTTTTTCTTTCTCTCCGAGGAAGGCGAAAAAAAATTCCAAGTGAATCCTTGTTACGATTTCAAGGACGAGCTGGTCTCAATATGAGTTTTCTTCGATCTCCCTTTTTCTCCGACTCCCGTCTCTTTCATCTCTGCCTTCCCTGTCCTGCCAAACCATCATACGAAATCGGGGAAAGGCAAGAGGGAAGAAAGGGAAGAGGCCGCGGCGATTATGTATGGATCGATAGAGCGGGTTGGGAGCAATTAGTGCGAGGAATATCCCAGAAAGACTGTAGCCTGAAGGCTGCTTCTCTAACATGATCCATTAAGAACAATGAGTGGGGTTTCTCCCTCCGGCTTGGTTCATATCGCAATGGATCACATCTGAAGATAACCCTTAAAGCTCGGCTTCTCTCATCTCGCAACACCTACAGCCTACAGGTAGAAAAGAAAGCCCAGGAGATGCCTGCCACATCCAGAGTATCTATTGCTCGAGTCACGCCCGTGCTGCACGAACCCATTCTTCTCCGAGTGAAAGGTGAATTCGAGAGACAAGGAAAAGAAAAACAACTATCATATCATTCGCACATGCCCCCTAATAGAGAAAAAGTCGACAAAAACACGGTGCAGGCGTGCGTCCCATTTTCAGAAAAAAAGGGACGATTCCGAATAGATATGAAGGTCCAATTAGGTGGATTCCTCGGCGTCAATCAAAGATCCCTCCCCCTTGTTCATTAGAGAGTGGATCGAGCAATTCCTGACGCACTCCCCCATTTATCATGCAAGGCAGACATAAGACAAAAATCATATCTTTTTCCTTCTATCTCTCCTTCTTTCTCTTCCTCCGTCTGTCTCTTCTGCAGAGTCATTCCATCTCGATTAGAGCCAAGCATTGCGAGAGGCCGAGGAGACTCGAGCTTCATCATGAGCTTCGTTAAATATGCCAAGAAGACCATGGAGGGGGAAATAATTTTTTTCCACTTGCTTGAAATCGAGCTTGAAGATAAGGGGGTCTGGTTGTGAGAAGCATGAAATTGAATGGAGAAGCAAGGGAAAGAGAACGGGAGCATCTGCATGACAATTCTTCGCCATGCACCATCAAACCCACAAAACTCCTTGTTTCTTCCCATAAACCATCTCTCCTCTGAGTCCCTGTTCCCTCAGCGGTATTATGCAGAGACGGTATAAAAACCAAAATAGCGGAATCGTGCATCCTTATAGCCCCCATTTCCGGGGACGTATTCTGAATCGAGGAATGATGGACTCGAAGCACTCAACTTTTCTCTTTTTTGTTGTGTGCCGGACAGGCGATTTGCAATCGAATGGAAACACGTACATTGATATTCATCGCCACACTTGGAGTGCGCTTTCACTCCTCGGACGCAGGTTATATCGAAGCACAACCTCTGGCCGGAATACAGATCGACCATGCAAGGGAGGACAAATGCATCAATCGGAAAAAAAGACCTCTTCTCTCTCCTCAAGAGGATGTCAGGGGTCAATGGAGGGGGTATTATATATAAAAAATTTCCCTGCCCATATTCGACCCCCGCGACCTATGCAAGCGGGGGAGCATGAGACCTATAGCCATGATTTGTGACTTCGATTTGTTCTCCTCTTTAGAAATGGACGAGGAAGGGCGTGACGCCGTCTTTTATGAATTCCTCCTCACTCACGACAGCTTCAAGATTCATTTCCTTTTTTTTTATATCTACATCTTCTCAGGAGCATGATCTTCACATGCTCTTCTTTCGAAACCTTTACAAACCCTGACTCATGTATATCAGTGAGAATAAAGGATGGGGAAGAGTGCTTCAGGCTTGCTCAATGGGAAATGATGTGGAACTTCAATTCACACCCTCATTTTTTTATGGTCACGACGAAAGATCAACTTTGAGAAAGAATAAAAAAATGCCTTTCGGGAGTGAAGGAAGGGTGGAGGAAAAATTCGTGCTCAGAAAGGACCTTGTTACAGACATTGCCTGAGTCGTAAAAAATTCACGAGGGACCAGGGAACAAAGAGGGCGGAATGTTTGATATGGACCGACCGCATAAATCCACGCCTTCTGACATCTCCATTACAAATTCAACGGAGTACTGCTGTGCACACAAACGAGCGAGGGGCTTTCCAATCATCATGCGCTGCACGACTCTCTTTTTTTGGTTGTCCTGGTATTAGGCATTGCATATGCTTCCTGTCTTCTTGCATGTCGGTGTGGCCCCATATCCATAACCACATATGGCTGCACATGTAGGGAAAAACAGCAAGAACAACAACAGACTGCGGGGGTTCGTGTACTTTGCGCGAGTTTTGCCTCCTTTCCAGCCTCCGGGAGGGAATTCATGGTCACGTCTTCGCATATTTTAGCACCTTTTTCCAGGCCATATCTGAAACACGTCGTAAATCAGAAAGGGCCGAGGCGTTTCATTTGCAGAGCCTGTAACCATCCATTGGGGGGTAATTTGATCCGATTAGGGCAGGGAGCGATAAATTTGTAAAACGACCTCTCCGTTGTTGGAGGGGGCACGTTTAATGAGGGGGGTCTGTGCCTTTTCCCTGTGTCGACCCAGAGATTTACTAGGACAAGCCCCTCGAGCTGAATTGAATTTACTCCCTCCGCCTCACCCATTTACCACCTCCTACGCGGAAACAACCAGAAAAGAGTGTGCAAGTGATCCGGAAACACCAGGTTCCGAGTTCTGTCAACATGATTCGGTTCTAATAAAGTTTTGATTTGGGGGAATCTATCGTGGGACCCGGATGGAGGAATAGGGCATGTTTTGCAATAAATCGAGAGAGAGAGAGAGAGCGAGCGTCTCGTAATTGGTGTGAATTTCCCGCAGGAAGCCATGAAGAAGGGAAGAAGGTAAATGAGCTCAGGGGAGTATTCTACGGAATAAAATCTCTGGGAATAATCAGCTACTAATTCTTATAATGTTCTCACATTTTTCCTCCGTCCCATCACACTGTATTCACACCTGAGACTATTTCTTTATGGAAGAAGTCAGTTCTGACACTAAAAGTCGTTAGCGTAGATACTCATGCATTCAAGGTTCGCCTGATATCCACGAAATGGTATTTGCTACGTGTGTATGCAGGTTCCCCTTCCATGACCTTTCCTAACTCGTCCTCCGAGGCGTCCTTCCGGTATAGAGTTGCTTTTGCTCGCGCAACTTTCCCATAATGTAGGCTCTAGACTATGTCAAACACAAATGTTTGATTGTTCATTCGTATTTATATTCTACTGGGAAAATGGACATGCTGGGCGATCAAATTTCTCATTGAACCTAGAGGGAATTCTCCATTTCTAAAGGACAATTTAACTGAGCTTATCTGTGTCTCGGCGAACCTGCGAGGGAAATATTAGCCGGCAAATGCGCATTTATTGGGGGTGGGGGAACTGGATGAAACTAAAATGGTTCCGAACTGAAAGCAAATGCGCTGCGGTGAACAGTGCGAGCCGTCGCTCGTGGGCACGAGATCTTGCTTAATTCCGCTCCGACATTTTCGGAAATCTATATAGTGAGCTCCGCATCTGTGCCCGAAACTCTGATAATCTGTGAAGTCTTTGAGCCCACGAGCAATCGAAGCAACAAGCTATGCCTAGTTTATTGAACGAAGGTTTTTCCCTGCTACTATTCCTCGTGAAATGACAGGCAAAGCAACATCATGCAGGATTGACTGTAGAGCAAAGTAAGATAACATAAGAGCAAGACTGTAGGACTCACGATTAAGAGAGCAGAGACAGAGTTACATCACAGGCGAACATAAAGCCTCTTCATCACTGGATGAACATGTTGGAGAGCCGAGATTCAATGAAAGAGCTGGCTGTCTGCACACACGCACACACACTCATGTGTCTCACTCATTGCGGGGGGACTCCCATTAGCAGAGCCAGCCCATTTGCGTTTATTTTCTCATGTCAAACCAACAGGGGAAATCCGAGTGTCGGGAAAGCAGAGGATGCGTAACCTACCGATGTCACAGGGCGACTGTTGTCGGTTCCCGCCGAAAACGAGAACGTCTTCAGGGGGGGCCTGGGAAGGACGGAGGAGGCGGAGGAGGAAGAAGGGGCAGGAGAATGAAGGCAGTGGGTGCGCATGCGCTACGACACTAGCTCCCCTACCCTTATTTCCCTACCTTCATTCCCTCTCTTTTCTCTTTCCTATTCTGTTCGGCTTGTGCCGTGTGTTTGCCTTCATTAAACAAATGCATTTTTGACCCGTATGTCCGCCCGTAACGTATTCTCGAGAAGCCTCTTTGCACTGCAGAACGATTCGTTCCTCGTATTTTTTTTTTTCTCCTCACAGCTGCCACATTTTGAACGTCGACCACGAGACCATCCTCTCATGGAATTATACTATGAAAATTCTACCGTCTGTTATTCAAGAGTAATTCAGAGCCCATTTCTATCATGCCAAGTTGGATTCTCATTTTTAGCAGGGGGGGGGGGGGAAGCAGCCAACCCTTGCCAATACATTTTCTCCGGGCGGAAGCGCTTATGTGCATTGAAGCGGGAGGCTGTAAATTTGGCAGCTGTGAAGTTTTGCACGAAAACCACGTTCCCTCTTTTTCCGGCTCACTTCGCACTCTCTTGGCAAAGTTTCGGTCTTTCGGGACGGAAAAGCCCCACCAGAAAAGCCGCGACGATGCCTCGTCTCGATAGTACATACAGCATAGCCGATGTGTATCGATTCCACATACAGCACTGTATACGTTTCGTTGGGGGGAAGCTATCGAGATATTTGCCCAGTCATTGAGCCGTGTGAATCGGTGGGAAGAAGAGAAGGAAAGGAAGGTCTTTTAGCCAATCCAAGGGTGGGCATTATATCGTCTATGGCCATAGAATACATCTAGGGAAATGGCGCTTGGCCAAAACCATTCTCCCGCGAAATCAAATCCATTTCTATGCCCTCACCTCTCTCTTTCTCAGTTCTTCCATTTTTATCTTCTTATCTCATGCTCTGAAAAGTGCTTATTGCGCGGGGTCTGGCCTGCAATCTTCGCTGCCCATAATCAAGGGGTAGCCGGGTATTAAAGTCCCATCAAGATGGATAGACTGCAATGCGCACCTCTTCTCTTCCGCAGACGTCCAGAAAAAGAGACGGGGGAGGAGAGAAAAAAAAATAAAAAGAGGGAAAGAGAGCGCCCGTTCTGTTTTGCCAAATGTTTTGAAAACCATTGCACCCTGACACATAAGACAGAGTTTGTTTGTCGGGTCCCGAGCCGGGCTCACAGGAAGGATTAGTCTTAGTCCTTCATTGAGATGCAATCGGCTTGGGTTGAGAAGCTTAGGGCAATCGGCGGGAATGCTTTCATTGTCAGGATACTTCTCAGCACGGTTTGTTGCATCAACTCGGCTCGAATTTCGCGCATTCCAGTGCTCGGCACGGGCATATTCGATTTCCAAAGGAATATTCCCGATTCCAGCCCCCTTTCGCATCGCATCGCCGATGCACAAATTGGGGGGGGGGGGGGGGGGGGGGGGGGGGAATCGCATCGCCGATGCACAAATTGGGGGGGGGGGGGGCGGCAACAGCTGGGAGAAATCGGCACATGTGCGTGACCTTTGCGGAAGCGCAGAGAACCCTTTCTTCTCGGCATCTCATCGCGAGGCATCACGACAAAGACCGCCTTTTTGCACTCGGAGTCGGAGATGAAGCCAGCAAACAACAGCTGTTTCATGAGACAGGAAGAAATCCCCATTCCCCAGGCCCCAGATGACAGATCCCCATGCCATCAGTATTGTCGTCGCCCCCATTCCCCTTCGCGTGAGCATCGTCATCCGTCAGTTTTTTAGGTCATTTCTGACTTCACTTAAGGACCTTAACTACACTTGTTAGAGACAGCTGACGGCCATGGTGCCTGACCTCTCTCCCTTCAATGACAGACTAACAGCTTCATTCGCCCTGCTCGTACGGTTTCCCCCCCATCCTCCTGCTTTCTTCAAATACGGACGTTTCAAAGAAAATTTATAAATAAAAGTTTACGCACAATCGGTATTAAAAGGGTTGGAATTCTCTCGGGACCACCGAGTCTTGCAGTCATAGAGAGTGATCCCGAGCACCTTGTCCTTCCTTTATCTCAGAGTGAGTATTTTTATTCATTAGGTGTTTGCGGCGTGAGAAAGAGAAAAGTGAGAGATGCAAAATGGCATTCCGTGGTGGGAAGGCGGCTTTCAATCACGCCTTGTTTACGCTGGAAAGGTTCCATGCCTTCACCCCGATAAGCAAGATGGAAGGGTCTTTTAAACATTGCCAGATTACTCAGCTGTCAACCGAAGCCTCCGGGGCTGACCATTTCATGCTATTACATCGAGATATCGATCAAACGGCGCGGTGTTTGTATGCACTTGAGGTATCTTAGAGGAAGTCCTCGTCGAAGCGAGGGAATGGGTTGGGCGAGTTTCAATGATGTCATCTGTTACTCCCAGCCTTGGTGCAACGGGAGAGTGGCGGCAATGTTTCTTCTTGTTTGGGGTCCACGAAAAGAAAAGGCAGGGGAGGGGCAGAGGCAGACGAGGGCCCTTTTGCTCCTCATTTGGAATCCTAGGCATGCCTGTGTTATCCCCCCTGTCAACACTTATCTGGCCTCTCAGGTTGACATCTTACAACATGCTTCGTCTTCTTCTTTCTTCTTCCTTCTTTTCTACAAAAAGGACAAAGGAGGACGGGGAACCTTTGAACTTGGGGGCTTTCGAGGGTGAGAATGAGGAAATATGATTGTGCATATAAAATACCCGCATATACAAATCTATGGGCCTCCTGTGGTTGATTTCCCTTGGCGGCCATCCGGAGAACAATGGCTCTCTAATGGAGATGTCCCATTCACAATGGATCCCAACGGGAGATCCCATCTATATGAAGATATTCTTTCTTTCTCGTCGTCATCATCACCAGCACCGCCATCATCACAAGCTTCATATGTTCAGCTTTGCTTCACTTTTTTCGCAGGTGCCGGGTTCGAGTTCTCGAAACTGGGTCTCGGCTTCAGCATATATGAGTTCGATAAATCAGGGGAGGAGAAGCAATTTGGAGGACATAAATCAGGGAGAAGTTTTTTTTTTTTCTTTGCAAGAGTGGCACAGGGGAATCTTTAGGCACGGGGGAAATGTCTGTCGATGAGAAAAGAGGAAGAGGGTTGGAGGCAATCGAGGAGAAAGGCTGAAGGGACAGCAGAAGGTCCATCCAAGCTCGGATTCATCCATCAAGAATGTGTCATCACGGTCTCTCCAACATTGATCCCTTCACTCGTAATCGAGTCACTGCACTGCACTGGCGGAGACACGTCTTTCCCTCTGGACTCTTCTCCTCCCGGAGTCTGCTGAGCCTCGTCTCGCGATGCGAGAGACTGCTTCGATGAAGCGTAGGAGATGAATGCAGCTTCCATGTTCCTGTCATCAATCTTGTAAGACGGTGCGTAATAGAATTTCCTTGACTCTCTGCATGATTTATGTGACTGGCCTTATTGAAACAGGTTCCGGGGAAGCCTTTGGAGACTGCCTGCATGGGAAATAGCGTGAAAATGGATTTCTCTTAGCTGCTTCTCATCTCCTCTTCAGAAAGGTCTCGAAAGGTATTTGCGTGCATGTGAAGAGACACCGGCCATTGTCAGATCGCTTAGCGTCACCTGGAGAAATTCGAGGGATCCCGTGCGAGATAATGGAATAGAGAAGCTCCCGTGGGAATGATTTGTCATTCTAATGGGATGGAGGGGAGTTTCAATCCGGACCTAGACCTACCTTCCCAAGCCCATTCTGTCACTTTACTTTGATGAATAGTTCCCGACTCTACCATCGGGGTCCATTATACTCTACCAACTCCTTCATGCTTCGGATACATTAAATGGAAATCAAGCTTCGAATCATCCCTCACCGGCACACGATACCATGCCTGAGGAAACACTTTCGGCATCGGCTGGGAAGAGCGGAGACGAGAACGAGACCCAGGTAGGCATATATTTACATAAGAGTGGGGGTTATATATATACTCCGGGGGGAGAGGGGGCCATTATGCGAATGAACAGATGCAAGGGACGCGGTTGGATAGAGAGTTTCTATTATGTACTCTCCATTAGCAAGGGTCAGGTCCGGGTGCTACTCATATCGATCTTCATATGAGGATCAACTAGCACCTTCCATCACACCCATGAAGCGACCTCAATCACCCGCTTCCCTTCCCCCATGCTGCGCTTCGAAATCGATGTCATCTTTGAATTTGTAGCTTCAGTCATGCTGAAATCATGCACGATGGAGCAGATGGGAAGGGGATCTCAGATAATCTATGGAGGAGACCCGAAGCAATTTTTAAAACGTCATGCTCGTCTGAATCCATCTCGTTATCATGCCTGTCATTATCTCAGAAAAGAATCGACATCTCGTCGTATTGCAACCGTGATATCTCCGTCATCTCATTTCCGAGTATGTAGACAGCAGGCCGAGGAATGCACGCATGAGCCCATCGAGAGTCAATCACCGCGAGGAGACCCAGAAGATTCCGCAAACGACCTCCTCCTTCGTGCAGTGATGAGCGAAATGATGACAGAAGGGGACTCGGATCATATCACGATTATAACGGCTGAGTTCGCAACCCGTGCACCGAGGATCATGCGGCAGACGATGATGATATCCAGCCCAAGCACCCTCCAACCCCACGGGCCGTAAAAAAAATATACGAAAGACTCCGAGTGCATTACCAGCCATTATGACCTCGAAGACGGAGGAGGAAATGAAGCCCCTGGCATCTGCATTTCATAGCGGGAAAGGGAAGAAAGCGGAGACCCAGAGAAACTCAAATGGGAGAGGAAGAATGATTTCCCTTCCTTTTTTTATTGTCATCGAGGGTGACTTTGAATTGCAGGTGCAATCTTCGGAGCCCGGAAGGGTCGTAACTATAAACCGAGAGAGCGCCATTTCCTCCAGGGAGGGCCTCAAAGAACGTCGTCGATGATTAATGACAGGACGGGAACAAAGGACAGGTGTGTTTACTCGGTTCATCACACGAAAAACC